ATGGTGCACACAGAGTGACTCAGCTACAGAGACATAATGCTCAACTACTGCCTGATTACAGCATATAACAACCGGTGTCTCCTGTCGTTCCCTTGTGTCAACACGATTCGACATTAGCTGGAGAGATGCGACCCAAACGTACACTAAGACCTTGAGCCAAGATGGCTACGGACTTAAGAGTTAGTAACGCTCAATGCTCATGATCAATAGTACGGAATGTATCCTGTCCTCACATTCTTGTACGCAAACACAAGGAGAATGTCTCTACGCATGAACAAGGTGACGCTCTCTGCCGCACAGACTGGTTGAGCATCAATTTCACTCCACGCTGCAAACTGCTTCCGGGATTCTTGGCAGCTTCTCGTGTAGTCGTTCTATCAACCCTGTCCTCCATGTGGGCTTCTGCAAGGCTCCTGTGTCTGTACGTTCTCAGTGCAACTGCTGATGTAGACCCTTATACGGGCCATCCGTTGCAGTTCTACAAGGAAGTGCTATATCCTTGGAATATCAAAGAAGAGCCCGACGGCTGCAACGAATCGATTCCATATGTCAATTATACTTGGGATTACTATTTCGACTACCTCGTTAGCTCTGGTGCGACTAACTTACAGTTGGGTGGATATTCACTCAACGCAAAGAGCGAAATCAAGTTGGACCCTCCCTTCTACGATCCTTGGAACAAAACTGGTTTCAAAGCTCTGAGGAAACGAGTGGATGCGGCCGGCGGAGTGATAATGGCCGAGTTGGGTATATATCTCAACAAAACTTTCGACAAGGCTTCCTTCATGGAGAGTGCCAAAGAGTTCGTGAAGGAATATCCTGTTGACGGTTTCATTGTGGGCGATCTCCCATCGGATTTCAGTGAATACCCACTGCTGAAGGAACTTGTCGCGGCTATTAAAGAACTCAACCTACGGGTGTCTTTATGGTGAGTCAACAAATACCTCGGAGCACGGGAATCATGTTGTGAATCACAACAGGATCCCCACAACAGGAGCTAGTGATCACAACTTGTGATCACTAGCTCCAACAGTTGCTTCGTCATGTTAGGTTCTCAACGCTCCACTGGCAGGAACTCAAACGAACCGGCCTAGGGAAGATCGTCGATAGTGCCAGTGTTATACCGTGGCCAAGTTTCCAGAAAGAGTCCATAGAAACCTTCAATACGGATCGTTTCGCTCAAGATATGATCAAAGATGTCGTCGAAGCTGGTGTAGATCTCAATAAGCTGATCCTCACTGTAAGTATAGTACACTAAGTGTACGCGACTCCTACAATCTTTAGTACCTTGCTGCTTTTCTGCGATAGAGAGTTTTCTTTGGAGTCACCTTCTGCATTGATGGCGCGTTCGCTGAGACAGTCTGTCTCAGACAGATTTCATACATACTGTGTGGCATGAAATCCAACGTTGCTTTTCAGATACCACTACTCGCTAGGGCGACCTACTCTAGCTCGGACAGGGGATACTCGAGTGCAATCTACGAACTTGGTGCGGACCCCAGGGGAAACGGATCGGTCGTCTTCTCGGATGGGAGCGGCTGTTATTTCTTCTCACAAACTCGTGCAATCGAGAAGGTTGCCCTGGCCAAGAAGTACGGACTGCACGGCATTGGACTACAAGCCGGCGACTCTATAGCGCTGGACGATCTGTACCCTTGGGACGCAGACTCCCTGTTTCACGGCATTGCTTCAACTCGCGGACGATCCCTAACCGAATAATACTCAGCTATTTTTCTGAGGGATGCCTCTCAAGCTGGGCCCTTATCACATTTCACTTCAATGCCCAGTGGCATCACTTATTACTTATTCATCATTTATTACGGAAGAAAGTTTCACTTCTGGGGGATGTTAAGTTGGAGAGTAAGTCTTTACCAATCGTTTGTATACAGGCTACTGAAGAGTACCAGAAATCTTCTTCGGGTTAGAGGTTCGAAATCCTCTTCGAATTGTAGGTGGAGCCCCAGGCTCCACGATCACTTAAAATGGCTCAGTTCCTCCCAAGTGTGGCGATTTGACAAGTTCACTTGTCCCCGTTAGGTCACGAGTCCCAATAATGGCACTGTTGGAGGACTTGAGCCGTCAAGTGAGCATCATCGAAACGAAGAGGGCTCCGGTAATGTTCATATTCTCTTCGTACTTTTCAGCGTATCGTAGTTGATTGCAGGCCGATGAGGAGATGACAGCTGCTATTGCTTCTCTCGATTTACTGCTCAAAAAACAAGCCAAGATTGAAACGACAATGCGTACCACAGCGGAAGAGATCGACGCCGACAGCGTCAAGCTGCACACCAGCAAACTTTGACGTCGAAATGAGAGTGGATGGGCATCGATTCTTCAGCGCGTGCAAAAATCATCGCGTATGTCACAAAATATGGGGTGCTTTACAGATAATGGTTTCGCC